CGGCAGCAAACAAACCACTGGCTCTCCTAAAATACTTCACGAATATAAAATGTAGGCTTCACTAGATATACAGGACATTTGCATATTCAAAGCTAAGACTTTTATTGAGTAGGATCATGTAACTCGACTATAAATAATTTGTGGCATTTTTAGGAAGCACAGCAATCGTAAATAAACGATTAAAGCGTGTTTGAAGCATGCGGGCTGCTAACTTTTACGATCTTAATTTGTAGGAATGGTATAAAATTACTTTTTAATACACACGCAATGCAATAATTCACTTACTTCTGAGTCACATTCACTACCTATATTTTCATCAAACGACGTCATCGATTATTGCCAAATTATTTTAAAATGAACGTTTGATAATGCAGAGGTTTTAGAGCCGTCTACCAGGCTTACATAAACTGTAAAGACTGAGGTAATGTTCACGCAAATCCCGCAAACTTTGTTGGTTCCTAACTGATAGTTGCATTGCATTTAGCGCCAGAAACATTATGGTAGAGACGGCCACGAAAAGAAAAACAGAGAAAACAAACGTAAGGAATTGAGAGTTGACCGTTTATAGAGATTTCCTAAAGGACAAATTCGTCTATTTATTCTTGAAATATTTATTTAGTTTGAGTACCTATCCTGTCTGGCATCTTAGAGATCTTTTCTACCTGCCTCTGATGGCAACTTCTTCATTTCAGGCTGATAAATATTTAGGTACAATTAGGTCGATTGAATCCACTATACCTAAGGACTAGGTATTTTAAGAACTCTACCTCTACCAAAAATATTAATTTAGTCTCATTTGTCTGTCTGTCTGTACAAAGTTATAGTCGGTGTATCTGTGGGGCGTGTCGTCAAATTCTAATTAGCCGGTGGCTGGTGTAACCCAGCACAGAGACGGCACGACATCGTGCGACAAAACATTAACCACGGATGTGCCAGGGACGGACTCGCAAGGTAAGTAATTAAACACAAACTTAAAAGTTTATAAACTGGAGCTAGTCTCCTCTACGCAATAAATACATCATCTTCAGCCATTTGTTGTCCATTCATGAACATAGATATAGGCCTATTCTATCTCCTTACATACCTACCAGGCGATCTTGTGCTCTTCGCATCTAATCATGTGCTGCATGTCGTCTAATGTCATTCGATTGTGGATTTGAGTAATGTGTTCGACGCAATAAATACCTACTTTACATGGACGATTTATTTACCCTGAACTACCGATGATAATAATGTAGAACTTGACATCTATTCTTTTATACAATTCTTCATAAAATAGAGAAATAAAATTTTTGAAAATTTTTTTGTTGCTATTAATCTGTTTAATTTACATGAATGACAAGTACTACCGCAAGATTTTATCACGAGAATCCTAGCACCTACCTACCAACTTGATTTAGTTGCTAAAACCACCAATGTACAAAAGTACTCACAGTGAAATGATTATGCTGCTGGTCCTTTCGTATGAAAGGTTCGAAAACACAAAACTGATTTTAAAGGGCCCAGTTGCATAAGTCCTGGACATTCCAGTTCAAGATCACGCTAAGTCCTCCTTACTGTTATAATATTGGACTTGCGACTTTTCTATTTGACTGTTTTGGACTTAGGGTTTTCAGCCACTGGGCCCTTATACCTACAGATTTCTGAAACCAACCCTGGTAACAGTGATCACGGCATTTGCAAGATTGCTGTGACGGATATCATTTGCATTTGAAATCTTACGTCCAATTATTCAGTCAGTCTTATGCCGAGCGCCCGTCTGCGCGTACCTACTCATTCATAAATATGTAAAATCTTCGTGTGATTGTTGATCAAGCGTACCCATGCCATACCATGGTTGTTATTTGGATGGAGCTGCACCGTGAAGAGGTGAGTTTGCACTTGATTGATTTACATTTCTTTTTAGGGTTTCGTAGTCTACTAGAAACCCTTATAGTTTCGTCAAGTCTGTCTGTCTGTCTGTCTGTATGCCGCGCTCTTATAACTCCGTCAGTTTTAGAGCTATCGACATCAAATTTGGTGTGAAGATAGATCGTTTTGACCCAAATTTAGAAATGATGAGAAAAATTTTTTTTAGTTAATTTTTGGACCCCCTCCCATACAAGTGAATGGGGGGCAAAAAATTTCGGTCGTCATTTAGGTCTTTTAAAACTAAGGGGAGGTTTCTTTGAAACAAAGTCACTAAAATGTTTCTGTCTCGAGATATTTGTCTGACACGCTCTTGGCCGGTTTTTTTATTTGGATATTATTATACGGTCTGTAAGGGACAGTTTTCAAAATAGTGATGGGGTGCATTTACCTGCACCATGAAATTGAAAAACTTTCTATAAAAAAATATTTCTGTAGACGAAAACAAAATGCCTGCCCATACAAAATCACGATGAGCTGATTGTATCTATTTACTATTGGTAGTCAAAAATCTTGTTGTCTCCTCATATATTTTCTTATGGGAAGTTGTTCAGTTTCATGGTTAGTATAAGTATTCGGAGAACTATCCCTTATACCCTGTGTAAAAAACAGTAAAGTTTTTTTTTTTGTAGAAGAGTATTCCACATTATTTTACACTTTTACCTAATTTATTGCAATTTTCTTTCCTTGTTCTATTTTTTAACTACTTACCAAAATTTCGTAGACTTAAAAGGGAAAGGTTTAGAATAATCATTGTAGAGCTAAGCAAACTTTTGTTTTGAACAATTTTTTGTTTCTATTTCTCCAGTGCGGCTTAAAACGCGGTTGATATCCAATAGAAAGGTACGATGTCCCTTGTATAATAAATTTATTTCGCTATGACCTCTAACATAACCCCTATTAGGGGTTAATTTGAATTAAGTACCTACCTAGCTTGTCTCTATTAATAAAAATACAATAGACTTTATTGTAGCATTCATATTGACGTCTACAAAGATTAATTTAACCTTCTCGTCGAATCAACAACAATATGCCTGATCAATTGTATAACTTCTTTATATCACTTACTACTACTATCGCTATGTACAATAGGCTTAGTAGTAAGCATCTAGTAGACGCGAGTGCCAGTGACATCAGTAATAAATAATAATGTAAATAGTGATAATATTTGTTGTTCTTTTATTGCGTGAATAATTAAACTGGAAAATAAAAGTAATCAATGTCTATACAAAAAATGAATTCGTTATAAAGTAAAAAAAGAAAATTATTCACTCCAGGACTATTTTAGTAAGTAGGTAAGTATTAAGCACAAAGAAAGTATTAAGTCTTGCAATTTGAGATAAGTAATCCTAAACTACACAAGCATGCAAAACAATGTAGGTTACGTTTAATAATTTAAAGGCCACTGGATATGACGTCAAACCTAAAATACAAGGTAACATCTGCGGCATAAACGTACTGTATGTTGTACGCTGTAACCTATTTGAGAAACATAAAAATAAAACATTTTTATTGTTCATAAACGCATTGCGTGATGGGTATCAGGGAGTACCCGATCGATCTGGCAATACCATGTAGATTGGCCCCGATAACCACGAAGATAATAAACCACAAGTAATAATAAAATGATAACTTCCGCACGCAAAATTAGATTTTCAAACTGATGTGCTATTGTGGATTTGGGTGTCGAGCTTTCTGGTCGGAAGAATAGGACAATTTTTAAATATTAATGGTTAGTTTTACGTATCCATTAATTTTTAAATTTCGTTATTATTTTATCGCAAAAATAAGGTAACTGCGTATTTTTATATTACCTAGCCATCTCAAAGGATAAGGTTTTATTAAAATCAAATATTTCAAAAGTTTTTCTGGTGGATTTAAATTAGGTACATCATAGATAGATATTTTTTTGCTGCTACAAAATAAAGAAAAAGACTAAATGTACAAAACGTTTTTGGTTTTGTTTTAACCGTAGCAAGATGTAGCACAGTGCGTAGGTCCGTAGACTTCGTAGCAAAACTATCGTAGCGCGCGGCGTAGCATAGACAATAGTTTATTATTGAATAGTGACGCAAACTGTTTACGTTAGTTTTACAACGGCATTCATTCGGTCAAAGGGCGAGCATTGACGCATTAATAACTTATTTATAAGCATTTACACGCAAGAAAATAAATTAAACAATATTTATTTATAATTTTTTATCGTCCTAACTAATTTTACCACGAAAATTAAGTGGCAAGAGGTTGTTTTTGCACAGATCAGATAAAAATTAATAAAAAGACACATACAGTATTTATACGTGTAGGTATAGATACCTAAATATTGGGTTCAGTACAGTACAGTGACTAAATACCTAAGTGATTTAATTTTCCAGGTTTAAAACCTATTAGGTATAAGTAGTGCGCATTAAAAATCTTTAGGTAGTGTTTTCCTAAACTAAATAGAGATTGGACAGACAACACAAATGACAGGATTATGTACAAATGTTGGACAAACACAACACATAATGGCCGACAAACACGAACAGGTAATGTCCTAATTACTTCCTAATTACCAGCATTTACAACATGTTGGACAACACAACACATAAAGCGATTTTTCAGTAGTTTCTACCCATGATTTTCCTCAAAGTTTTGCAGTTATCAGTGTAAAAAAATTGCTGCAAATATAAAACTTACCCGGCCAGCCAACACATTTTGTATGGGAGGTCCACATTTTTTTATATTTCGTCCTATGTTACTGAGCCAAATTGGTTCAGATTCATGGACTGGTTCACCCTTTAAAATATCTGCAGTATTTCTTTTACATCTAGATTTTTCTTTTATTAATTTTGTAAGAAAAATTAGGAGTGCAGTATGATACATCAAAGTTTAAGTAAGAACTTAATAAGCAAAGCATCCACCAAATTCACAAAGAACGATGTGCTTTAGATACCAACTCGCTTTTATTTTGACCTCGAGTCTTTGCGCTACATAAGAAACGCACACAAAGAAGTATGACGTACCAAAATCAAGACCTTTCGTCGGGTGGTACGTAAGTTGCAATTGAACCAATATCTCACAAGTGAAAATAAGAAATAGAAAAGATGACGTACATCGACCGGGGATCGAACCCGGGCCGCATGGGTAAACGCCCCACCGCTCTGCCACTGAGCTATCGATCCCCGGTCGATGTACGTCATCTTTTCTATTTCTTATTTTCACTTGTGAGAATAATATAGCACTGTGAGTGCATTACAATCCCAATAGATTGATAAAGCAAGCTTCATCATATGGTTTGAATTCCACTCATAATGTGGACTAACCATGTAGTAAGTTCTAAATACTTACTATAGATGTCGCTGGATCGTCGCTTGGAGACGAGCATCAAGAGATAGAAAATTTGGCGTCCATCGGCCGTGCATCGATAGCTCAGTGGCAGAGCGGTGGGGCGTTTACCCATGCGGCCCGGGTTCGATCCCCGGTCGATGTACGTCATCTTTTCTATTTCTTATTTTCCCTTGTGAGAATAATATAGCACTGTGAGTGCATTACAATCCCAATAGATTGAACCAATATCGCTGCAACGGACTTTGAGGAAAACGCCGTCGAAACTACTTCAAAAACCACCATCATGGGATATTTACAATGACGGACGCCACAAGTCGGGGACTCAAGCCGGCTAGTACTCACTACCTTCAGCTTCTTAAGAAGTAGCTGTCCTATAGTATTCTCAGGTGGCTTCACCTTATTGCGCCAGAGGTCGGGCAACTTAGGCTTACTCCCTTGCGGGGTAGGCAGCTAAATCAGGTTGCAAACAGCTCATTAAAATACTTGTTCGAGTGATTAGTTTTTATTAGAGTCAGTTTTAGGTACGTGCATTGATTGTGATGTAAATAGATAATGAATCTTATACCGGGTAGACCATCGAGTGACGTTAATAAAATAAAATTAGATTCCTCACATCTTTGGGTATTCGAAAATACCCCATGTACGTATGTTCCGCGATTATTTTTAGTTTCCTAGTTATTCAACTTTTAAAGCTGTATGGGAAAATGTCGACAGTAACTTTTCCTTTCCCTTTTTTACTTCCGTATAAGGGCTTTTAGCGAGGTTTATTTCATAGCACAATCTTTATGATTTATACTTTTTAGCGTACAAAAAAAGAAAAAATTTCTGCCATTCGAGTTTTTCCCATACAACTTTAAAGTTGAATAACTCGGAAACTAAAAATAATCGCGAAAGATACATAGGGTATTTTAGAATACCCCAAGATGTGAGGAATCTAATTTCTTTTTATTGACGTCACTCTATATGGTCCACCTGTATTTTGAAACTTTATCATCTGTTATTATTATAAATTTTTAGTACGAAGAGTGTAGGACGTACTTTGAGACGCAAACCTTATCGTTTCTGTAGTGATACATTCTGTACATTTACAATCATAGCAACTGTTACGTCTACGTACATAAAAAATAAACATGGTACGTAGGTGTTTATCACTAAGTAAACAAAGAATTTTCTCGGGGACCGAACGCGTGTTTAGTTAGTTATTTATACAGGGAAATACAGTCTTCTTTTACGAGTTAGGAATTGAAAATCAGATAGTAGTTCCATAGTAATAGGCCTGCTCTAAACAAGTGTATAGAAAAGTGGAAAAGTGTGTGTTTGATCGATGAGATGCAAATGTTCGTAAGTATACCAAACTCAAATCAATGTATGTAAATCAATAACTTTAGTGAGAAAAACCGATTAAGTAACCTAATAGAAAACACATTCTTTTTAAATACTGATCATTAAACAGGAAAAGTGCAGAAAAACATGTCTAATGAATTTTCCGTTACAAATGTGATTCATAATCTTAAGTTATAGACGAATTATTTAGAAATAAAAGAGCCATACCTTTTTTGGAGCCATATCAGATATTGGATAGTAAAATTATAGCTGCATATTTGAATAAATTGATTCAAATTATTTACTTCAAAATTCTCCTAGGCAAAGTTATAGACAAGTTCGTAAATAAATTTGTCAAAATTCGTAGCGGTAGAGATAGTGCGCGCGCAAGGTTCCGTAGCCATGGTAACCAGAGGGGGGAGCCCCCTTCTTTCGCCCAGGTTCATCTGATCTTGCGAAAATGTAACCAGTGACGTGTTTGGGTCCTGCCGGCCACCCAATACTGTGCTCTTGTGATATTGTTGCTGTAATCTTGGTACCCGTTACTGGTAAGATTTCATAGCAGATGCTCTACCCGCTCAATTCAATATTTTTCACTGATAACTCTCCCTTTGAAGGACCGCAAACTAAAGTAAAGTGTCAATCTATTTTTAAACTATACCCAATTACCTGTAGAAGCGTTGCAATCCGCTTGTTACACCTACGTAGTAGAAATAGCCGATGCAAGTTCCGCCCACGTTGTTATTACTGGATTTTCAGGCCATGGCTAAAGTAAGGAATACGTAGGAATTTAAAGATATCCGCGAAACTAGAATTTGATGAATGCGAATGTAGGTAACAAAATGCTCTAGTGTGTTTTCGTTTGGTTTTTGTCGTGGTTTTGACCTTGATCCCTATTAGACTATTATAAGTATCCACATTCATATCTACTTATCTCGTAATTTATTTATTGCTGTAGTCTACCCAATATTTATTCATGAAGTTTGTTCGTATAAACAGCTAAAGAAATACGTACCTCCGCTTAGAAAATAATAATATTAACGGTTTATTTTGCGGTTTGCTACAGTACAAGATAATAAAATGACGCCTCTTGGTAAATACCAGTCCACATAACAAATCAATATTTCCCGTCCTTTGTGTAAACAAGGATTATTCGTACCAAACTTAATATGACGCAAACTCGCAAGTTTACTGTAATAAGTAATCAGGCTTCCTTCCAGTTTATTTTGCATTTACTAGTAATTTCCTATATAAGATCTTACCTACTCCTGTGTGTAGGACTACTAGTATTGTTACCGAAGATATGAAGCAAAGTTCTTGTAATTTCCAGGGCTTTTTAAGGAGCACCAGAGAAATCAATCAAACTGGCGGGAGAGAACCGACAGCGCGATGAGCCGCTGATCCCCCTAGAGCCACGGGAGGACAGCGGCATCGACAGCGACGAAGAGGGTCAGGGCTTCCAGCATCCCGTGAGTATGCTCTCCCGGTACAATAGCAGCTGATCCCCCTAGAGCCACGGGAGGACAGCGGCATCGACAGCGACGAAGAGGGTCAGGGCTTCCAGCATCCCGTGAGTATGCTCTCCCGGTACAATAGCAGCTGATCCCCCTAGAGCCACGGGAGGACAGCGGCATCGACAGCGACGAAGAGGGGCAGGGCTTCCAACACCCCGTGAGTATGCTCTCCTGGTACAATAACAGCTGATCCCCCTAGAGCCACGGGAGGACAGCGGCATCGACAGCGACGAGGAGGGGCAGGGCTTCTAACACCCTGTGAGTATGCTCTACTGGTACAATAGCAGCTGATCCCCCTAGAGCCACGGGAGGACAGCGGCATCGACAGCGACGAAGAGGGGCAGGGCTTCCAGCACCCCGTGAGTATGCTCTCCTGGTACAATGATAGAGCAATGAGCCGCTGATCCCCCTAGAGCCACGGGAGGACAGCGGCATCGACAGCGACGAGGAGGGGCAGGGCTTCCAACTCCCCGTGAGTATGCTCTCCTGGTACAATGATAGAGCAATGAGCCGCTGATCCCCCTAGAGCCACGGGAGGACAGCGGCATCGACAGCGAAGAAGAGGGGCAGGGCTTCCAGCACCCCGTGAGTATGCTCTCCTGGTACAATGATAGAGCAATGAGCCGCTGATCCCCCTAGAGCCACGGGAGGACAGCGGCATCGACAGCGACGAGGAGGGGCAGGGCTTCTAACACCCTGTGAGTATGCTCTACTGGTACAATAGCAGCTGATCCCCCTAGAGCCACGGGAGGACAGCGGCATCGACAGCGACGAGGAGGGGCAGGGCTTCCAACACCCCGTGAGTGTGCTCTCCTGGTACAATGATAGAGTAATGATCCGCTGATCCCCATAGAGAGACGAGAGAGCAGTGACGATGAGGGGTAGGGCTTCCAACACCCCGTGAGTGTGCTCTCCTGGTACAATAGATAGAGCAATGAGCTAATGATCCCTCTAGAGACACGGGGAAGCAGTGGCGAAGGGGGTAGAGCTTCCAGCACTTCTTGAGTATGCTCTCCTCTTAGATTATAATAAGAAGTTGGAGTTACAGATACAGAAGGACAGCGGCAGAAACAGAATAGCTTTCGTGTCTAGAAATGTATTTACCCCTTTGTCTCACATGGCTGTGCATTAACCGGTTAACGTAAATGAATTTCAGTTAATGGACGTAAGTGACAGCGAAGGAGATTTCGAAGAAGAGCAACGCTGGGTTTTCACTGAAGGAATGGACAACGTTCGATTTATGGTAACTATCAGAATTTACTATTCTCGTAGTTCGATATATAAATAAGATAAGCAGCGAGCAGCCATGTCCTGTCAAATACCTATGTCCCTAGAAAACTGGACAACGCTTGAGTTCAAGAATTGGATAGGGCGATGGGTTGACTTCGTTTGGTTGCCTAATCTACTGCGTATCTTGTAGCTATAATCCAGTGCCTACTTACATAACATACTTACATCATCTACGTTTCAAAACCAAATATGGATACGGCATCTGTATCTGAACCGATTTTTTTCAATCTTCCAGCAGCCGGCAGGCGGCAATTGCAAATGTGATGGAGCGAGTAAGGAGCACCGTATGAAAGAAATGGACTTCGAGTCCGATCGCAACTCGCCTCCACTATACGAGGTGGAATTGACAGCCTCGGATGAAGATGACGACGGTTCAGTGCTCGAGCTGGTGATCCCTATGCAGAACTCGAGGTACACATGAACATTATTTAAACCTTGACCAACAGTGCCCATGCTCTAATCATCTTTAAGTTCTTCTTTTTCTTTTCATGTGGGTCACCGAGTTGTTCAAGAACCGATGAACCCTGGTCTCAGAGTTTTTCAACCGTCTAGTACGACCGTCTAGTAGATGCAGACCTATCTAATACGCTTGTGCAAAGACCACCGACAGCGCCGGTTAAGTAATCAATTCATAGACAGCAACCCGGACCAACGGTTAACTATTCAATTAGATCGACGTTTTTCTTCTTGTTCTATGATGAGATTGA